CATTCAGATACTCTGCCCGGGTGAAATTCGTTGTGTATTCCGGACAACGGCCTCTTACAGCTATGAATTATCATATGTCCATCCAGATTGTCTGACCGGGTGAAATTTGCCGTGCATTCCGAGCAAAAGAACGGCTTCTTACCGGTATGAATCATCATATGTCTACGCAGATTCCCTGATGTGGTGAAATTTGCCGCGCATTCCGAACAAGAAAACGACCTCCTACCGCTATGAATCTTCATATGTGAACTCGATGGCGCAACGAAATCTTCCTTGGATATTTCGGATTTGAACCGTTTCTCATCTATGTGAATCGCATGCTCTGGATGTTCCCTTTTGATTGTTTGGGTGCTGGATATTTCATGTTGATGGTTCTTAAGCCAGATTTTCTTGGGATTTATTCCTACACTTGTTTGCTTTCTACTAACTTCTTGAATTGGTGGGTTCAAAGGTTAGGTAAAGGTTAGGTAATAGATGGTTCATCTTTTAGTAAAGCCTCTTAGTTATGTAATGGAAATGTCAATAGAGAGCATTCAATGTAAGAAGTGAAAACGCTCCATTGAATTTTATAACCAATATTTCTTTTCAGATAAACAATTTAACAGCGAGAGTTGAGAGGAGTGACCACCAAGATGATGGCGAAGAAGGAGCGGAAGTCCCGAGAGCGGATTTGTTTCGCCGCGCAAGTCCTCCGCTACGTCGGGAGCAACAGGAAGTGCTCCATGAGCTCCTGGAGCGCGAGCGAGAAATGGAGCGGCAGCGAGAAAACGTAGAGCGGCTCGCGCTCCAACTCCTCGAGCAACAGCAAGAAAATGATTTTCTGTTATCAAAACAGAACTGTTATCAAAACAGAATTTCTTTCAAAACAGAATTGTTTTTTTCAAAACAGAACAGTTCTGTTATCAAAACAGAATTTCCACTTTATTTTATTCTGAATCAAAATTTGTAATTTTCTCCAAGTGCATTTGGAACATGAAAAATTTCCAAAGACTTTATTTTTAGACTACAAAGACTTTATTTTTTTCAAGTGTTCACTTTTTCCATTTTGCTTCAAATTGTCGCAAATGATAGGATTAATGATTCATTGCGGATCACTTCAATACGTTCATGAATTGTCAATCGTTAATCGCAATTTTTTATTTTATCATTTCCTTCTTATTAACATTTGAACAATTAGAATTATACTTTAGAAAAACAGTATGTAAATTCGTCTGTGTCTTCAATAATGTGTTACACACACGCAAAATACGTATGATGTGCGAAGACATCATCGATGAAATCGATTTTCTTAGCATTATTCTATTGCACTTAAACTTTGGGTTTAAGTTAAATAAAACATATAACAATAGAGATGTGAGGGAATTTGTCATAGACAAATTTACTAACTTATAATTGAGACAATTGTTACAAATAACTCATAAAATGTGAAAGTTGGCTGACCTTTTGTTTCCCTATCAATTAATCTTTCGTTAACATTTACACAACTTAATCTGTTTGTTTTGTAAAACATTGCTTCCAACAGAAAATAAATAAACAACAACGATTAAC